TATATATATATATATATATATATATATATATATATATATATATTATGCTAATATATGTAATGCCTGCTCCAAAAAGGACGCACATATGTATCTATTGTATGTATAATATATATATATTTATTGTACATGTATGCAATAAATATATATGCGCGTCTTTTTGGCACTCTATATATCTGCATAACTACACAAAATACCAATGGAAATTGTACATGACGTCGTGCATGTGTATTTTTATGCTTGTGAACTTCATAATCGCACAGGTATTCATCTCCAAGCTTATTCACTGTTTATTCACCGTCTGGAAGTTGGCGAGGGTGCTGTCATTTATGCTACTCCAAACTTTTCTTTTCCGCGAGTTGAACCAGAAGTGTTATATAATACAATCTGCCGTAGCTTGTATTTCACATGTTTCCCCGTTGTTCTTCCCATGGAAAATGAACAACCAAGGACACTGATAGATTCAGATTAGACACACAGCCAAGAGAATACGTACGCCCAGCTTGGCTCGGCAGATTAGGAGACCTACTCACAAGGGATAAGTGTAAAAGAATTTGTTTCTCTTTATATGAATGAATACAGTGAAGTTTCTTTGACTGCACCGAGTCAAAAAAGTTCGATGCACGCGACAATCGGCAATCAAGACTGCTGCTCGGGCACATGCGATATATAGAAGCGGCAGAGCCTGCTCAAGGAAAACTTGATCTTTTCTACAACGAAGACACCAGTAATTATTTTAATTGATTACTCTAAGTTATAGTTATTCTGTAGTTATTGCCTCAAAGCGGAAACGGCCGGGTTTGTTTGGCACAGAGAGACCCGCTACCCATCCAGCCAGCCACGAGATGGCCGGCATCGGCTACGCTGTTCTTCCGAAACAAACTCTAAAGGTCCAAGAATATTGATTTGCGTTCCAGCAAATGCGAATGATTTAGTTAATAAAAATTATTTACTTTGCTGTTACCATCTGCGAAAATTGCGCGTTACTCCCCCAACTGCGCCACTTCCCTCGAGTGGGAAAGAGCAGCGCAGCTCCGTTGCTCGCGGCTATGCTTGAGGGGAAGATAGCCTTGCGATTACTTTTCCTTGAACAAATTTCCTTTGGATTTTCGAGCTAAACTGAAAGCCGAAACGAATGCTGGAGCGGGTGTTTGATTGTGGGCTTGGATCTAGACATGCACAGGAACTCTCATCGGCGTGACCGCCGATTCTCTAACGCCAGCCGTGCTGGTGCTACAGATACACGTGTTTGAACACTTTCGACCTCTTTTTGAGTTCATCCGTCAAAGGATTGAGAATATTTGCTCTGAATTTCATGTGACGACCCCGCAGCAATGGCCAGATCAGCAGGCGGCTCAGCAGCCTGGCTGACCCCTTGGCGGAAGTTCTTTTCAAATCACCCAAAGAACTTGGCGCTCCGCCTCCGCCTCTTGCTTTTTCTGGACTGTGTGATATTTGCTTTGATAATTGCTGCTATTACGGGGCCCTGGTACAGGCAGGAATGGCGAGTTGCGAATGGCGAGATCCTATCGTGGACTTTGAACCTCACCAGGGCAAAGTTTGCTGTTGACTGCTCATCAGATTCCCCCGAGTTTCTTGATTTGTGCCAAATGCTCTACGGACGAATGGCGGGAGATCTCCGAGCAGTGACGCGTTCTATTTGCAGCGCAGCTAGAAAAGTACAGGACACAGACCTTCAAGCCCTGTTGCAGGAGACATGTTCAGATATGGAACTCATACAGAAACTCTCAGTCTCCACAGGTGGCGTGGCGGGAATGTCTGCTTTTTTTATGGCCTTCGGCTTGGTAGCTTTTCTTTTGCATGCAGGAGGCGGCTTTCGAAACCGCCGAGCGTGGCGAGCCAGTTTCGGCTGCCATGTGCTTGCATGGATTGCTATAACTGCCTCCTGTGTTATATACAGTCTAGCAATAATAAATATTGAGGATATGTTTCACTTTCAACCTCCCTTAAACGTCTCATTCGACCCTGCACAAGCTGAACCCGTTGCTCACGAGTTGCTGTACGGGTTCATAATTGCCATCGTTTTGTCGGGGCTGATGCTCTTCTACCTCCCCTTTTGGTGGAAGGCGGCTCCTTTTGACCCTGACCCCTATTTTTTAGAGCCAAGCGACTTGCGTCAAGGATTTGTTTAATTCTATGTTTTTTCACTTGCCACAACATCACCGCAGACACTCCTTGCACAGGTTTCAACTCCACAATGTATAACGAGAGGCTTTCGTTAGCGTTCCTTTTTCTGGGTGGCAAAGTTCAACAGAAATAACCAAACTCAATAGTGGAAATTACGAAGAAAAGGAATTTTAAGTTGTTCCACTGCACGCTTGTAGGTGAACCCACGCATTGTCCGCATTCCTTTTGAAAGCTACGCTTGGATGCTGCTTCCATTGCTATATTCAGAATATGAATTTGCAGCATCGAGCGCTATTCCAGTAATGCGGGTCAGGGAGTAGCGAGAAAAGCAGCCTCTACATGTCTGCTGGTTTATTAATTATCTGACGGAATCTACTACAATGAGACATATTGTGTAACAACAAAACGCCTGTGACTGGTCTACCTGAAGGGGCAACAAAGAACGTGGCGTGTATGAGGCATAAATAGGAAAAGAAGTATTATTTAATTGTTCTTTTGTCGTGTCTTCACTCTGTCCACCTCCTAGATACAAAATTCCCCCGTACGTGTTTAAAAGCAGTCCTGTCAAGCAGGCATCCAGCTCGCACGGAGGCGAGGACAAAACTGTCTTAAGATGCCTGCAAGAAGTTTATTTCGTTTCACAAGAGATGACAGATTTTCTACAAATCAGTCTTGTGCACAGCTGTATTCCGTGCTGCATACGGAATACAGCTTTTTCGCCATTGGAGAGGTCAGTCATGTGGGGGGGAGAAGCAGAGAACCCTCAGAAAAACTCCTTCTTGAGCCGCCTGGAGCTGCGTTTTTTATTGAATCCCCGGCGTGACCAAATACTCTGTAACGGCCTTGAGTCGAGACAGGTCCAAAGCGGAAAGCTAGCAGTTTCTTGGTCGAAATTTGCTGGCTTTTAGGCCCGGTGAGTTCGGATGTACCAAGAAAATTTGAAGTTGTCCATAGGGTTTGCTGATTTCTTGGTGGCGGGCTCTGAAAAAGCCTGCATGCTCCCATGCTCCTCTCCTTGCCGCCGCAACACAGCGCGTGACGGCTCACTAGCCACCTGTCTGCATGACGATGCCGCTTATCTTCCTAATTAGTCCTATTTCAACAACCTCAACGATGTTATTTTGCCTTCAAGTTTTGTTTTCCCCAGAAATTCATCATTCGGCCCCTGTGACTCATTGGTTCAAGCAGCTGGCTGCTTTAGACCAGTGACGTCGCGGGTACCTGTTGCGTCCGTGGTGGCGTCTTCTGTTCGTTTTTGCTATCCTCCACGCATTTATCATTGTTTCTGTTTTATATTTTGCCCATATATTTCCGCTTCTCGCTTCAATCTGAGGTGGCTTTCATGGCCTCCGCGCTGTCGTCGGCGGCGCCTGTTGCCAAGGGGATCGATGGCCAATGAAGACTCATTCAGTGGGTGGTTGGAAAGCAGCAGAGGCCAGGACTTCTTTGCAGGTCAACTCGTGTTGTTCATTTATCGGGAACGGCAATAATGATGTTGATTCTGCTGACATGGCTTGCGTCAGCACTCTCACGGTCATCGCTGTTGCCCCTCCCGTGCAGTGCAGCTCCAACTTTGAATTCTGGGGTTGTACGACTTCATCGAGCACCCGAAAGCGTCACTAAAGATTCCCGCCTGACTGTATACCCCGCAGACGTGCACCCTCAGAAGCCTGCGGCGGCCACGCATCAGCAGTTTCTCTTACCCAAAGACGTGCGCCTCGCCCACATCTCCGCTGTCGAGACGCCGAAATATCCGCCTCCAGTAGTGCGGAATAAGGGAGGAGCAGAGGAACATGTTCAGCAGGCTGATGCAATTCCGTCTCTCGCACCTGAAGTTCATCTCCATTCTGATGAATTGAGTCCAAGCACTTCCGTTGGGGGCAGCAAGCAAACGCACTTCAGCCCCTTTGCCTTCTTGCAGGAGTCACCCGTACCGAGTACAGTTATTTTGATCGTCGTGGGCACCGCTCTTCTCCTGTTGCTGATCGTCATTGCCATTATCAGTCATTATGCCCTCGCAAGTCGCTCGTCAGCGCGGCGAGGAAGCGTTGGGTACCCCAGACAGCAGCAATACAACAGTCCGTCATCTACACGGGATTTAAATTAATCTACAAAATAAATAAGATGTTCCCTTAAGCCCTTCTACTTCCCCATTGGTGGGAGGGCGCCTATTATTGCACCAACACACATCACCCGTTAGGTTGTAATTTTTGACACTCCCCAGATAAACCTCCGCAGATGCATATAGTTGCATATTGCATAGCTGCATATAAGCGAGCATGCAGCCATACTTATTTGAAGATATGTGTGATCATACAAACCGATTTACGCAAATGTGTGAATATACAACTATGTAAAAATAAAATTACATTAACGTGTGCGTGAGCATGTATTATATGTAGATTGTATATTATATATATATATATATATATATATATATATATAATCTTCACATTTTTGAATATATATTGTCCTCGGAGTGCTCTGCAGGCCAATCTGACCCATGCGAGACCTCAGTGCCGGCGTTCAATCCAGACGTGTTCTCGGCTGCTGTTGCTGCAAGTCGCCAGTTCTCCCCCTTAAATTCCTTCAATTCTTTGTACAACTTACCCCCCGGGTAAGCCCATAGAGGACGACAACAAATGTAGAGAATTGCCTCTTCTGCCGCAATCGATGCGTGCGGTTCACTACTCTGCGTACCTTAGGTCCAGTGCAGCAGCACTACTTAGATATATGTATATATTTGCTGTTTCCTTATATGCCTGCTTTGCAGGTTTATCGAGCGCAAGACTCCAAGGGAGATTGAGTACGAGAGGCGCGTGATGAACACCCGTCTGGCGCCGCATTCCGATTCGCCTCAAAGGACTCACTCTAGGCACCTTGAGTCTCCACCTTCACCCAGAGAAGGGAAGAACACTGTAGGCTGATGACGCCCTCGGTGACTAACTAGACAGATGCACTACATCTGCATCTCTACAAGCTTTAGATTTTCTCGCTAAAACCCAACTGAACTGTAAACACTAAACCTAATTGGACAACTACGCATGATGCCGTGCAAGGAACTTAATGAGAGTCTGGGTGACACGGTGCTGCCAACGAAGTTGGGCCCCTCGAAACTGCTGACTGACGGTCGGTTGAAGCGCAGATGAACTGCTGCGACAACGCCTGAGCCCGCCAGTTCCTAGCGAGCCAACTGGCTCTGCAACTGAAAACAGGAACTGCGAGACAGACAGGAGCTCGACTCCTCTTCCTGCCTCCCTCTTCACGTGGTGTACGGACGCCTTGCTCTTGTTACCGATTACCTCGACCTTTGTCTCATTTTTCTCCTTTTGCGCTGCAATCTCCTAGTGCGCTTCTTCTTCCACTGCAGAAGAAGACACCGTAAAACGCAATCCGCAGAAGTAAGAAAAGGCCTCGGCTAAACTGAGGGGTTGAATAAACACAGTGCTCCACGGAAGAACAGCATATGCCCGTCACCAGGAATGCGCATAACGAAGTAGAATTACACAACCCCAGCAGAGTGCAGAAGCAGCAGCATTGAGTCATTCAAGAATAGTGCGGTCAACCTGAACACGAGAGAAAAAGTTCGCGAATGCGGCCTCAGACATCTAAGGAAGTCGCCAGGCGTTGCCCCAGGCGCTTGAGGCATCGCGTACGCAACACA